ACATACAATTTACACAAAATAAAAGCGAAGCAACACAAGTAGCACATAAAAATTGTATACACAAACACATTTACAAGCATAATGACTAACTAAATGCATTGAAGCAGAATGGATAAAACAGCAGATATAGCAAAGGGAGGGAACTCGTCTGCACATCGCACAGTGGCAACTTTCACCATTCCAAGTTTTTATTATTTTCCTAAAATCATTAAAAGAAGTAGATAGTCTGACATGATCTGGCAGTAAGTTCCATGTAGAGGCAGCTAAAAACGAAAACTATTTGTTCCATATTTAACTGTTCTGCTTCTAGGGACTTCTAAAATTTTACTCTATCTGAAATTATAAGATGGTGTTTTTCATGAATAAAATCCTGTTAATAACAGGGGCTTTGTCCATTTGAAATTTTAAAATTTTCTATAGCTATTGTCTGAGTCTACTAAGTTGTAATTTACAAGTGTTACCTTTTTCTCTACCCTGATTTGGCACGCATAGGGTTTAAGTTTATTTACTAAACCCTGAAGGCAAAACGACCCCGATGTGCAAACCACAGTCAATCTGCACGATAGGCATGTATTTGTGTCTGCAGACAAAGCATCTTATATTCTAATCTTGTTTAAATTATCGTGAAAATTAACCGATTTTTACATATAATCGTAAGTACAGTGTCTAATGGCATATTAATTTCAAAAATACTTTATTGTTTGTAATTATATTAGTTTCAATGAAAAAAACAACCCTTTTCACATGCGAGGATCGCAGGTGTTCCACCGTGCTAAGGAGAGATCACTACGTCAAGGTGTGGAACAATATCATAAGACTCGTGGGGAAAACCCGAGGCATCATCAGTACTAGTGCACATAAAGACAACCTCAACATTTATCACAAACAAACCGTAAATGTTACGTTTCTACACTATTGCTGACTGTCTCCCAAATAAGTTAGATGAATTTAACAGCCAGAATTAATCACACAGAAAAAACGACTCAAATAATAGTATGGGGATCCAGGAGATATCTTCCACTACGTGAGGAAGCCAGACAACAAATTAGAGAAACAAGTAAACGCGATTGCCAAATCCTGTTACTACCAGATCAGGAACATCGGCTGTATTCGGCAGTTTCGTACTGCAGATGCATGCAAGATTTTGGTGCATTCACTTGTTACCTCTCGGTTGGATTATGGTAACGCCCTGCTCTTTGGTATATCTGACAAACTAACTAGTCGTCTGCAGAGGGTTCAGAACACTGCAGCACGGCTAGTTACTCGTACTCGAAAGAGAGAGCACATCACACCTGCGCTTTATTCGTTGCACTGGTTACCTGTACGATACAGGTCGCAGTACAAAATTCTGGTATACACATACAAGGCACTGAATGGAACAGCTCCTCAGTACCTACAGGAACTTGTTACCCTGTATCAGCCGTCAAGATCACTGCGGTCGGAGTCAGAATCTTTGTTGTGTGTCCCAAAATCTCGTACTGTGACCTACGGAAACAGATGCTTTGGGAGGGTTTCGGCTACGTTGTGGAATAGCTTACCATCTGCTATTAGGAAGTCGAATACCCTGGCCAAGTTCAAGAGGGACATAAAAACTCACCTCTTCACGTCTGCATTTTAGAATCTTTGCAAAGACGTCATGTAAATACCACCATTTTATTTGTTCAATTATGTGCACATTGCTTGTTAAATGTATGAAAGTGATTGCAAGCCTTTGTTGTTTGTTTTCACAATTATAACCATTACTATTATCCATATGTTGTAAAGCGCCTTAGAGTAATTTTACATATTATATAGGGCGCTATATAAATGCTGTATATTATTATTATTATTATTAACAGAAAGTACCGGGCTGCGATAAAGTAGCTTTCTGACGACGAGAGATTTTGGCAGAGGAGGCCGGGTATTAATAAGAGCGTAGCTCTCGGGCGCCGACCCGAGCGAAGCTCTTTAATGGTAACACATGCGTGCGTAAACAGAGTTGCTTCCCCTTGCTACACCTTGCCTTTAATTTATCAAAGGCTCATGAAGTGATGACGCGATCCTATTTTCGTCCGGAAGTAGACGTCCAGTGGGGAAACAGGAAGTGTATCCTTGACGCAAAGACAACTGTGTTTCAACCCATACATGAACATCTTCATATAGTGAAAACAATCTTCATGTTTTATTACTTGTTTATTGAGATAAAAACTAAAATACATTCTGAATCAAAACCGGGGCAAGTTAGGCCCATTTTTATGGTGAGCTTATGCTATACCGCAGCGTCTGTCGTCCGTCCGTCCGTCCGTCAACTTTTCCTTAAAAACGCTACCAGACCTGAACGGCCAAGTAGATTTTGACTAAATTTGGTCTGGAGCATCCTTAGGCCAAGGGAACTCAATTTTGTATAAATGGTCGCTGTGGCCCCCCTGGAGGGCAGAGGGGCGGGGCCCAATAGGGGAAATAGAGGAAAAACCTTCAAAATCCTTCTTCTACCGTAGGGATTAAGGGATTTTATTCTTCCTTGGGCAAAAGGGACTCAATTTCATATAAACAGCGAGTGTGGCCCCCTGGAGGCAGAAGGGAGGAGCCCAATAGGGGAAACATAGCAAATTCTTCAAAATCCTAATTCTTCTGTATGAATGACAGAATTTTGTCCAAATTTGGTATGAAGCATCCTTGAGTGAAGGGGAATCAAGCAGGGCCCAATAGGGGAAATAGAGGTAAAACCTTTAAAATCCGTCTTCTACCATAGGGATTAAGGGATTTTATCCTAATTTAGTCTGGAGCATCCTTGGGCCAAGGGGACTCAATATTGTATAAGCAGGGGGTGTGGTCTCCCAGGGGGTAGAAAAGGCGGGGCCCAATAGGAGAAATAGAGGTAAAGTGATTAAGGGATTTTATCCTTATTTAATCTGGAGCATCATTTGGCCAAGGGGACTCAATTTTGTATAAACGGTGGGTATGACCCCCCTAGGGGCATAGGGGTGAGGCTCTGTTTGAGATTTGTTATATCTCAAGTACTGGATGTATCTTTCTGAAATTTCATATGTACTTACAGCACCTACCATGGAGTGCTATATCTTTACTTCATACCAATAAACATATTCAGGTGAGCGATACAGGCCCTCTGGACCTCTTGTTATTTAAGTCCGTTCTGGGAAGTATGGCATCACGTCCGTTTTTGAACATTATTTTACCTTTCCTGTCGGAAGATCGGACGGCCGAACGAACATGGGGTAAGTTCGGACAGGCATTTGGGTAAGTTCGGCCCCCATTGAAATCAGCTTAATTATGCCGTCATACAGCATGCAACGTCAGATTTTACCGTCAATTTTACGACTTTTTATGTGTTACATGGGCCGAACTTGCCACGGTATCATTGCCCGAACCTATCCGGGCCCAAATTGATATTCCAATAAATTCTGATCGTACAGCAATACGGCAATGAGTGCTTGGCTTGGCTTTCATGTATATCATTCGAAGCTGTAATTGTGTTACACGTTTCACCGTAAAAAGTTGCAATTCCGTTTACAGAAAGTTCGCATAACTATAGAAGCGATATCATGATTTTCTTTCTACCCTCTCAAAAGTAATTTTCTCCTGTGTAGTAATTTTACATTAGAGTTTTCCTCGTCATTTTTTCGTGTGAAACTAAACTGCTAAGATCCTTAAAGTTGTAAATATTAGATCAAAAACAAAAATATCATGGATGGCCGAAGTTGGCCCGGTCTCCCGTATATGTAGATTTTTTGTATCATTGATGCCGATTGATGAAAAAGTATTCACAATATATTTTTGCATCAATGACGCCATTTTCTCCCAGTCAAAGCTAAAGTAGATATTTGTTCATGTGCGTAACGTATATGATGGGTCCGGTGGCGCAGTGGATAGCGCGCTCGTCTTCACCAAGATGGCCGGATTCAATCCCGGTCACCTGCACCACACGGGTTTTCTCCGGATACTCCATGGCCAGCTACCTCCTACATTAAGAATTAAATCCACTGCGTGGTTCCATTAGGGCACAAAAAGAATGATTGAGATAAGTTTGGAAAAAAACCTGATTGGTCATTGCTATAGAAAAAAAGAGCTTATTACATATTTGACGATTAGTCTAAGTAAATGTATAGAGATGTTAGTTAAAAAAATAAGAAAAAGAAAACATTGTAATACTTTGATGTAACTGAGATTGTCGTTATATCGATATGTAGCCTCAATTCCTGTTCCACCATGAAACCCTGGATTGAATTTCAAATTTTGTAACTGTCACCGATGTTTAACAGGTAATTATGCCAAATACAATTAAACAGTTTCTGTCTGTAATTAGTTATTAATCGGCACGCGTTGTGAAAAAGTGATATTGCTAAAAAAGGACTTTGAACTCGGGTTGGTTGCCTGGAAAATTATTGTTGATTTGACATAAATGCATTATCCATTGTTTCTTTTATGAGTGGTAATGCATAAATATATTACGTAAAGACTATAACCAGACTTTCACAAATATTAATAATTTCGTTCATATTCTCAACAAATTGAAATTAAAAGCTGATGAAATTTTAGATGATAAAAACAATCAATGTAAACGTTCAGTTAATGCCGCTCTTTTGAAGAGATCTCCCGGTAGACATATTAACAGAACCTGGTTGATGGCAAAATGGATCTTCAGAAAATATCCGCATTTTTACTTTTTGTGTCTGTGGAAAAACTGAAACAAAAAAGTCATGAAGCACCAACAAAGAGATAAATGCACCGGACATCAGTTCAAAGATTTTCCGGTTATTTTTTTAACTTTCCGGAAAGTTGTTATTACTTGTTATTACTAAGATTACATTTTTTATCGAGTAATTAATATATTATGTATATACTGTTTGTATTTAGTACTAATCACGACAACGCAAAACGAACGCCCCAGTACAGTCGCGTCCTTCCGTGCCGGCATTAGTCTCGTTCAACCAGACTCGCTTGATTTCTCTGTTCGGCGTAGCTTGCGCAGGCAACAAGAGTCTGGTTGAACGAGACTATGTCCTGTGACTAAGGGACATAACCGTTGGAAAATTATTCAAGATGGCGGCCGAACTTGAGAGAGCTGTGGCTCTCCGTACAACAAACAAGAATGAAGCGATTGATATACTAAATAGTTTGGGTAAGCATTTATTTACTTCAACACGCGGTTCTTCTTTGCTCAATAAGTGTCCGTTAATTAACTCGATCCTATATTTGAATTGAAAATAACTTGAAACATTTGAAAAAAAATCTCCATGCTTTCTCAAATTCGCTGAATCATATGCCGGCAAACCTGTGTTTATGTAGACTATATAGACATACCTGTTAGTCAGTACTGTACTTTTCATTGCAAATTTCACTGATAAAGCGTGACGGACCTGTTGGCATTGAACATATTTGTCAAGGCTTCACCGGAAAGTAGCAACAATATTTAGTACATGATTAGGGCCAGGAGTGTAAAAAGAATTAATAAGTATCTTGGCGCATATTGGCGACGTCATATTAATTTGATTTTTGTTTACGCTAAGATCTTATAAGGGAGGGAATATTCAAAAGTGGAATATCTCAATAGATAAAGAAGGTACTTACATGAAATATCAGTACTTTGTTATCTGTCCCCTAGCTCTAATTACACTTCGCAATCTCTTAATGGTAGTGAATTATCGTCTAGACACCAGTTTCCGCGCGTTATGTATTTCCGCGCAGACATTTTATCAAGCTTTATCTCGTAGCTACGTGACCTACTGGACACAACACAAGGACATTTTAGACGTTTGGCCATCGTCTGTAAACTGACAAAAAAAATACCGGATGTTCGTCCGGAAAACATCAGATTTAAACACTGATTAAAAAACACGCATAAATAATCAGTTTTGCTTAATGCTCTTTTTATCTTGCTCAAAATGAACCCATACCTGAAAATATGGTGATATATTTCATTCATGAACCAGTCTTTTTTGTAGTCTGACAAACGTATGAAAATGTCGTATGCAAATGAGGCCACATCTCCTCGCCGATTTTTTTCCACTTCCGAAGAGCCAAGGAGACATTCTTATATCGATAAACAGTGTTTTCAATGAAACGTAAAACTTGTAATGCAATGAACTTCTAATTTTCACCAATTTTAAACAGAAAAAAATGAGAAATAACTTGCCATCAACCAAAACTGATATAAAACTGCAGAAAAAAATTCATAACAGATTCTATATCATAACTAAATAAATATAATAAATAATTTAAAAAAATACATGAATTCGTTCAATTTGACATCTTGAAAAATAAATTAAAAAGGTGAAATTTAAAAAATGTTGTTTTGATAATTAATTTGATGATCAAAGATATATTTTTTATTCCAAACGAAGCTTTTGTTCTTGCAGGTCACTGTAGAGAATTTCTTTTTAGTGTATTCGAGTTATCTTTCTTTGAACACTAAATCAAAATAGACACACGGAAACATATGACAGCTACTTCCGACGGGAGAAATTTGCTACAAATTGTTTGTTCTGATTTTTAGCTCACCTGCCCGAAGGGCAAGTGAGCTTATGTTATAGTGCGTCATCCGTCCGTCCGGCGTCAACTTTTTGCTTTAAACAACTTCTTTTCGGTAACCAAAAGGCCTAGGAAGATGATATTTGGCCAGTAGCATGCTGGGATCAAGGGCTACCAAGTTTGTTCAAATAAATGACCTTGCCCCACTTTCAAGGTCACAGGGGTCAAATATGTTAAAATCTTCAAACAACTTCTTCTCAATAACCAAAAGGCCCAGGGTACTGATATTGGGCCTGTAGCATATTGGGATAAAGGGCTACCAAGTTTGTTCAAATGAATGACCTTGACAAACTTTCAAGGTCACATGGGTCAAATGTCGTAAAATCTTCATACAACTTCTTCTCAATAACCAAAAGGCCCAGGGGACTGATATTGAGCCTGTAGCATGCTGGGGTGAAGGACTATCAAGGTTGTTCAACTGAATGACCTTGACCAACTTTCAAGGTCACAGGGGTCAAATGTCGTAAAATCTTCAAGCAACTTCTTTTCAATAAGCAAAATGGCCAGGGTACTGTAATTGGGCCTGTAGCATGCTGGGAGGAAGGACTACCACATTAGTTCAAATGAATGACCTTGATCCACTTTCAACCTAATGTCCTTGTTCGACAATCAAGGTCAGAGGCGTCATATGTTTAAATCTTTTAATAGGTTCTTGTGAAATCTTAAGATTACAAGTGTAAGATTAATAACAGGTGAGCGATGCAGGCCCTTTGGGCCTCTTGTTTAATTTTTGATCGTTTGACATGATTTAAGATAGTTATAAGAAAGTTGGTTTGAGCACAGAAACCATGCTTGAGCACGAGAATGGTTTTCATGAATATGGACCATGGACTTTGGGATGGCTATGGTAAAATTCTGATATTTTTTACAGTTTTCAACTCGAGACATGACATGGGGCATGATCTTTTTGTAAAATCGAGGGTGCAATTGCAAAATGTCTCGCTACAACGGGCCGTAAATTTTCATCTAAAATGGAAATATATTTATCAGTTTTTAGCTCACCTGGCACGAAGTGCCAAGTGAACTTGTGCCGTGGCGCGGCGTCCGTCGTCCATCCGTCGTCGGCGTCAATATTTTACTTTAAACGACTTCTTCAAATTAACCGAAATGCCTAGGGTGTCGATATTTGGCCAGAAGCAAACTGGGATGAAGGGCTACAAAGTTTGTTAAAATTAATGACCTTGACCCATATTCAAGGTCACAGGGGTCAAATATGTTAAAAACTTCAAAACAACTTCTTCTGATTTACCAAAATTCCCAGGGAGATGATATTTGGCCAGTAGCATGCTTGGGTGAAGGGCTACCAAGTTTGTTCAATTGAATGACCTTCAATTATATTCAAGGTCACAGGGGTCAATTGTCTTTAAAAAAAAACTTTTAACAACTTCTTCTCAATAACCAAAATACCCAGGGTGATGATATTTGGCCAGTAGCATGCTGAGATGAAGGGCTACAAATTTTGTTCAAATGTATGACCTTCACCCATATTCAAGGTCACAGGGGTCAAATATGTTAAAAACTTCAAAACAACTTCTTCTGATTAACCAAAATTCCCATGGTGATGATATTTGGCCAGTAGCATGCTAGGGTAAAGGGCTATCAAATTTGTACAAATGAATGACTTTCACCTATATTCAAGGTCACAGGGGTCAAATATGTGAAAAACATTAAACAACTTCTTTTGAATAACCAAAATGCACAGGGTGATGATATTTGGTCATTAGCATGCTGAGATGAAGGGCTACAAAGTTTGTTCATGTGCATGACCTTCACCCTATTCAAGGTCACAGGGGTCAATTATGTTAAAAAATTTAAACAACTTTTTCTGAATAACCAAAATGCCCAGGGTGATGATATTTAGTCAGTAGCATACTAGGATCAAGGGCTACCAAGTTTGTTCAAATGTATGACCTTGAATCATATTCAAGGTCACAAGGAGCAAATATGTTCAAAATATTTAAACAACTTGTTCTGAATAACCAAAAGGCTCAGGATGTTGATATTTAATCAGTAGCATGCTGGGATCAAGGACTACTATGTTTGTTAAAGTGAATGACTTTGACTTATATTCAAGGTCACAGGGGTCAAATTTGTAAAATCTTAAAACGACCTCTTCTGAATAACCATGGGTCCCAGGATGTTTATACTTTGAAAGTTGCATCCTGAGATAAAAGGATATAAAATGTGTTAAACATAATGACTTTGTTCGACTTTCAATCACAGGGGTGAAATGTTTAAAAAAACAAAAAATGGGACTTTTGAATGAACTTTAATCATAAATTCTGATATTTTGCCTGTAGATTTATTTTAGATCACTTTTAAGGTTACAAGTGTGAGATTTATACCAGGTGAGCGATGCAGGCCCATTGGGCCTCTTGTTATGTTTCCATCAACAGATGTAAGTGTACCGACCCCAAAATAGGAAATACATCCCCAAAACATAGTTGAGAAACGCACATTTCTAGCAATTTAAGTGTTGTTACTAGAGGCGTCCGGATTCATTGCGGTGCACTTTTACCGCGATTATGTATGTTAGATTTTATTCACAATATATTTTTCCCGGATTTTCTATACGTCACAATATATTTTTCCAGATTTTCGATACATCACAATCTGAATATTAGTGTATGCCGCTTCAGCCGAAACGTCTGTGAGACATTCAATTTCATTGGCTGATCTCTAAACCCTCAACCAATCGGCTGTGAGGATGCAATTTGCACAAAGTATTCAAAATAAAATGGCGGAAACGCTGTAAGGAAATGAAAATTGCGATGCTCCGGCAAGCTTCAAATCAAAAGTGTGGTAACACTGCAGGTTTCCGTGTATCAACAGCTTATATATCTCATTTTGTTCATATTTTAACCCTTATCCCGCCAAGTGCAGCATATGTCGTTTTTATAAACCCGTTTCCCACTGCCAAGCGCGGCATATGTCGTTCCGCAAAACATGCCTTCCACTGCCGATCGCGGCATATGTCGATTCCGGGATTGCCGTTTTAAGTACGGAACTGCGGTGAGAAAATCACTGCTAGCTTTACTTAGAAATGATGACGTATTCGTTTATACCTTAATTTCATTGGCTGACTACGTGATACCCACAGTTTATTTATAAACTAAGCCACCATGACCGCGAGAGCATAGATTCGTTTTGTTGACAGCGCGGAAAAATGGCGGACGACAAACTGACAGAAGACGAATCGAACGACTGTAGATTATCAGCGATATATTTGACAATGACTTTTAGGGATTCGGACCTGAAGATTTACTACGTGACGCAGAAATCGTACAAGATATTGACTTTGATCAATCATATAAAGACGTGGACATTCCTGAAGACGACGACAACACAGCGTACCCGGTTTGAACAAAGATATTCCAGGTGACGGCGACCCTATTCATTTTTTTCTCTTTTCTTTTTAACGTCAATATACGGACGACTCTTACGACAGAATACTAAGTACTTTTGATTATGAAACTTGGAATTGTTTTTCAGGTGATGGTAATAAATAAACTGTTTATTAGATGTAAATCATCTTTCTAACATACAAAATACACACAAAACTCAGCTTTTCTAACCTGTAGTTCGGTAAAGGTAAGCGAGATATCCGAAATTACTTTTGATATGAAAAGAAGAAGTCTTCCTGAACAAAACACTTTATATATATTTTCTTGGATTCTAATAAGATAAAAACTTATTTTTGGTTTAATCAGATAATTAATTTTGATTAATATAGCTGTTGTTTATTTGGCAGTGGGAGGTATCCCACAAATTGTATACACAGCAGTGGTGTGTATATATATACACATGAGTGAATGGCGGGATAAGGGTTAAAATAAAGTTGTATCAAATCGAAATAATATAATCGTGGGTAAAATGTATCATGACAGCTCTAGTTGTTACATCATTTAATGTTTCCCTCCTATTGTTTTTAACAATTCGAATGATACTACGATCAGACCCGTCAGACGATTTTCTGGGCTGCCCACTTCTTGATAAATTTTTGACACTTTTCCTTTCACAGAATCGCTTCAAAAAATTCTGTATGGTTCTTGCTTTAAGTTATGATAATCCTGCAATTTTTCGAGCCAAAAGACCACTGTTAGACAGCTTGACAATGTCTTCTTTAATGGCTGGGGTCAATTCACGGCTTTTTGGAGCCATTGACGGGCAGACAACAATATAAATACATAGGAAGGGGAATAACTCTTTGAGTGTATACACAATTTCCTACATCCTACAAATTGTTCTGGCACTGGTTTTGTGAGAATACGTGTTATTTGGGCAAAGATAGAGCTGAAAACGATAGGAATACATTTTATTCACCTAATGCCGTCGCCATTATGTGCCAATACTTATAGCCAGCAGGGATTTTCCTACCATTTTTTTTCCGGGTCCAGGGTCCAATGAATTAGGAATTTTTAAATTGGGGTAAATAAAATTTCATACATTTTCCAGTTTCTGTTAATAAATTTTACTTCTTACCATGAGAAATTGCATTCTTGGTATTGTAATTTCTTATTTATTTTTCAATGCATAAGCTTAGGTCTAGCGTGCAGTATTTTTATAATTTTATTATACTATCAAATATATACGGTAGATGTAATATTTGTCTATTTCCTTTAAAACTAAAAGGAAAACTTTTATTATTATTTTAAAGTCATTTATTTACCTAAACCTATTTAACTGTAAAAAAATTGATCATTTCCGGATTCTGTGCCCGGATGTTGGTTCCCTTATTAGAAAACAAACATGGCCGACAGCATGTTTATCACACTGCTGACTTTACGGACAGATACACTTCATTTCTTTACCAAGATTCTTTTGTGAAATAAAAGATACTGAATTAGTTACAAAGAATGCTTCTTTGATGGTAGTATCCCTTTCCCGAGTTATACTCCAACTTTAAATCTTGCAAAAATGGCCATCTGATTGGGAATTTTTCAATGGCAATTGTGTATGTCCGTAGCTTAGTAGGAAAATTTAATCTGTGTCAACCAAGCAACTAATGTTCCAGGTAAAAGTACATATTTCAGGGATTGTTGCAAATTGCAACTGAATTGGAAAGAATGCAGTTGCCAGACTTGGTCCTGGAAAATCATTTACCCAGTCCACTTCCACTAGAGTTTTAATTACCTCTCATGCATACAAAAAAAATAACTTAACGAGACACTTTTAGTTGCGGTGGTAACTAAGACACTCCAAAGTAGTTTTATGCCTATTAATGTCCGCTGAAGGATACATATCCTGTATTTAAAAATAAATACGACATACATATATCACAATTTTATATATTGTATATATGACCATGCATTATATATTCCAGTGAAAAGAGATATGGACACCAACAGTGAAGAAGTACTTAGAATAAAAGAACAATCTATTCTTGAACTTGGTTCTTTGTTGGCTGAAACCAAGCAAGCTGAAGGTAAAAAAAAAAATAAAAAAAAATCACAAAACAAATGTTCTACTGTACACACTCCCAAATGTGCACTTGACCAAATACAAGACAAATAATGTACAATATGTCATAAATGTATACACATTATAAATTGGTACTATGTACTTGCTGACTCTCGCTATTTTGGAGGGAGACTCCCAATTTTGGACCCTAAAATTGAGCATTTTCAACCATTGAATATGGTTAACTATTTTTATTAGCTCACCTGGTCCTTCGCTTATGCCATACTGCAGTTTCCTTTAAAACGCTACTAGTCCTGAACGGCCATGTAGATTTTGACTAAATTTGGTCTGGAGCATCCTTAGGCCTAGGGGACTCATTATGTATAAATGGTGGGTAATAGAGGGGAAATAGAGGTCAAACATTTCAAATCCTTCCTCTACCGTAGGGATTAAGGGATTTTATCCTAATTTAGTCTGGAGCATCCTTGGGACTCAATTTTGTATAAATGGTTGGTATCCCCCCCCCCCCCCCGGGGCAGAGGGTCGGGGCCCAATAGGGGAAATAGAGGTAAAACCTTTAAAATCCTTCTCCTACTGTAGGGATTAAGGGATTTTATCCTTATTTGTTCTGTAGCATCCTTGGGCCAATAGGACTCAATTTTGTATAAATGGTGGGTGTGGCCCTCCCCTGGGCAGATATGCGGGGACCAATAGGGGAAATAGAGGTAAACCCTTGAAAATCCCTCTTTTACCATATGGATTAAGGGATTTCATCCCAATTCGGTCTGCAGTATCCTTGGGCAATAGGGAATCAATTTTGTATAAACTGTGAGTGTGCTGTGTTGACAAAGGAAAACAGTAATGGTGACGGCCTGTACGGAAGCACGTTGTCGTTAATGTCAGAGTGTTTTGCCCCAAAAACATAGGCGCACAATCTTCTGGGAAACTTCTGGAGTGTTAAATCAGTCGGTGGAAGTCTTTGAGTACGAACCACATGTAAATGATGACCTGGGAAAATATGTGTGCTGCCTTTGGATTGTTTCCATATTGCTCTCTCATTGATTCTCCGCCTCGGCATACACATGCTTATGTCAACACGCCGATGGAGTGTGTATGTAACGGTCAATCTGATTGGTTAAAAGTTTATTGGGCGAAGAACGATAACTCGGTATATCCGCTAGGTGGCAGTGAAGGGAATTATGAAAACACGAATATATCCGCCAAGGGTAAGTGGAGTGTGAACGAAGCGAACACTTGGCTAGCGGAGATGCATTATAAAGGACTACTGAAAGTATTTCACCACTTTCTAACACAAATTTTACCAGTGTATTTATATATAGCAAAGGTGTACCAAAACATACTCACATTATTGACAAAAAGTTCAACTCTATATATAATTAATTAATTAATTTGTTTTAATTTAAGTATCATACATGTATGTAAAAAAAAATAAAAAAAATTCATGTATATTGTATATTGTGTAAAGAAGTATATCAATTTTGGGGAAGTACTTTATGAAAATAATGTGAACTTTATGCTCCTGCCCTGTCATGTAGAATTGTAGGTACTAATTATTCCTTGCATGTCCATTTTCAGAGCTTGCTGGTTTGGTCAAATTCACACGACCATTCCTTGTGCTGGTAAGTAAGGCCAAGGCAGCTAAGATGGTAAGAGGACTGGTGGATTTGTTCCTGGACATGGAGGCTGGAACAGGGAAAGAGGTAAACACTAGAATCAGAATTTAAGGTAATTCTGGTCATAAGATGGGGCCGTAGAGTCAAGATTGCACCAGGTTAAAACAGGATGGCAAATTTTATTTTTAGGTCACCTGAGCTTTGCTCAAGTGACCTATTCTGATCGATTTCTGTCCGCCGTCGTGCATAAACTTTTTACATTTTCAACTTCTTCTCAAGAACCAGTGGATGGATTTTTTTCAAACTTGGTCAGAATCATCCTTGTGAGATGAGGCTACGGAAATTGTTAAATTGGGATTCCTACCCCAACCCCTGGGGCAAGGGCGTGGCCCCAAAGGGAAAATTAACCAATTTTTCAAAAATCTTCTCCTCCAGACTCGGAGGTACTTCATTCAATTTCTCTGCATGGAAAGAAAATCAGCAGTGGCTTTATGTGAATTGTCAATTTCAGGACCCCCAAGCTATTTGTTCTCCCTTGGGGAGGGGGTAAAGTTACTATAGTTTATATAGGGAAATAACACTTTTGGGTATATTTTATCCATTTTCAGCAGAAAATTACTCAAACTTAGTCAGAATCATCTTTGGTGAATGAGGGTATTACATTGTAAAATTGGGATTCCTGCCCCATCCCCAGAGGCTAGGGCGGGGCCCCAAATGGAATATTTACCAATATTTTAAAATTCTTATCCTTTGATGACATGACAAGTATCGTATTTCACTTAGTTTACTTGCTGATTTCCACATCACATCTAAACAATAAAATAAAGCTACCAGTACCTATGATTTAACTCCGGTGACCGCTAAGGCCCTTGGGCCTCTTGTTTACAAAATGTCATGCATTCAATTAAATTCTGGGCTCTGAATATGGATTTTGTAATCGCACATACATTTTTGTGTCGCCTGCGAAAAGCTGGTGACACATAGGTATTGCTATGTTGCCGTCCGCACAGAGTTTTCACATAGCTTCTTGCGCAGGCGACACATCCACTTCCGTGGAATTCTTGTTTAAGGAATGTACAATTTTGCTTTGACATTGTTGGATATCTAAAGGAGGTTGGCAGTCTACATTTTCATATCATAGATTGGAAGTTTGAGTAGCCCAGCTCAATTTTTGCCTGCTTTTAATTGTGTTGCTCTTCAAGTCAAGCCCTGAATTGACACAGTTTTGTTCACCACTCGACAGGTTGAATTGTGCAAGGAGTGTATAAACTGGGCAAAAGATGAGAAAAGAACTTTTCTACGACAAGCATTGGAGGTAAGAAAATTTCTACAACATACATTTGTATAAATGAAGGATGTGGCCCCCCTAGGTGTAGAGGGTCGTGGCTCAATAGGGGAAATTGAGATGAGTCTTTAAAATCCTTCTTCTTCTGTAGTATTGAAGGGATTTTATTAACCATAGGACTTGCAATTGGCATGAATTTGTTGACCAATTTCTGTGCAGAATTTTTCCAATGCGCATGTGTATATGACCTTAGTATCATATTACGTTGGTATGCAGAAATAGCCAATATACGATGTTTTTGGACAGTTAGCATGCAGAAATGAAAGCCTCTGCAAGTGACAAACAAACATTCCTTTCTACAAATGAACACTAGTAGGACAATGTTTAAGCATGTCAGATATTTATTTGTTTGTTGCATGTTGAGGCTTTCAAAAATTGAAGAGTGTTGAGTAGTTTTCCTTCAAAATGGCAAGCTTTAAACTAAATAGCGCACCAGACGATTTCATTATGAAAATGCGGGTTTATTCTCTCTTTATACTGCCATATCTCCTCAACCAGTTGTCGAATGAATATGAAAGTTCATATTTGCAGTCTTCATGTATTAGCTCACCTGCCCGAAGGGGCCTGAGGGGCGGGACCCAATAGGGGAAATATAGCAAATTCTTTAAAATCCAGGGGCATCACGCTGAAGTAACTATTTTTTGTGTATTTTTTTCAAATACTACATAAACATATCAAGTGAGACTCCTTATGGAAAATACCGATCGGATTTGGCTGAAGTGTTTCATAAAAATGATGAAATCTAAGATAATCATCGGTATTTCTACCTGTCTGACCAACGTTTTGTTCAGGGATTTACCTCGCATTGCACACCATTTCTTTGTAAACAAAATGACTGGCCATGTGAAGTAAGCTATAGAAAAGTGTTGTACCGTGTCAGCTACGAAGCGAAAAGTTGCCAAATGGTCAAAAGATGGCGCAAGGAGTACGTTACGGAATCATTATTACAGGTGGGAAGTATTCAAAGGAGAAAATAACTGCCATAGCAGCTAGTATGGTGCATGTATTCTTCCGGATAACAGGTTAACCTGAAATGGAATCGACAGAAATATTAGCGCTGAATACATATCTAAAACTATTAACCTGGCTAGTATCTTTGTCTGAGTTTGAACACAGATGAACTTAGTTTAATATGTCAATGGGCATGTATCAGAGAGAGTTTACTTTGTGTTTCTGTAATTATACAATGGTTTATGCGAAAGGTAGGGATAAGTGACTGGTTAGTTTGATTTTGTCATGAGGCCCTCCAAGGGATAACTGTTGTGATAGCCACGGTGTATTCTGTCGCTGTCGGTACTCGTGATCGGGGTCAAATGAGATATGTGCGCTTTTAAATTTACATAATTTATTCCTCTGGCGCAACGACGCAATATAAAAAAATAATCTCTTCGTCAGAAAGCTACATTATCGCAGCTAGATTAAAAATGTCAAAATGACGGGCCAGGATGAATAACTGAGGAAGGAGAACCTACTTCTAGTAAATAGGATCGCGTAACATTTTTAGGTCACCTGAGACAAAGTCTCAAGTGACCTATTGCGATCGCCTTTTGTCCGTCGTCGTCCGTCGTCCGTCGTGCGTCCGTAAACAATTTACATTTTCGACTTCTTCTCCAAAACCCCTGAACCAATTTCAATGAAATTTTGCAGGGACCTTCCATGGACAAAGG